CATTGCAGGGCTGGCACTTGGACAATGCCAGCCCTGCATTAGACGGCAGGGGAGAATCTCAGGGGGGGGAGGCAATTGCCCCGTTGCCACCCCGGATCCGCCAATGGTTAGTGTCAGTGTGTATCTGTATGTGTGTGCTTCTGTGTGTGTCAGTGTGTATCTGTGAGTATGTGTGTGTATCTGTGTGTGTCAGTGTGTATCTGTTCATGTCAGTGTGTATCTGTATGTGTGTGTATTTGTGAGTATGTGTGTTTATCTGTTAGTGTCAGTGTGTATCTGTGAGTATGTGTGTGTATCTGTTAGTGTCAGTATGTATCCGAGTAGGTATGTATCTGTGTGTCAGTGTGTATCTATGAGTATGTGTGTGTGTCAGTGTGTATGTGTGTGTATCTATGATTATGTGTGTGCATCTCTGTGTTCCTGTGTAGGTATATGTTTGTATCTGTGTGTGTGACATTGTAAGTGTCTGAAGGTATATGTATGTACCTGTGTGTGTATGTCAGTGTGGATACATGTGTGTGTGTGTTATTGTGTAACCATATCCCTGTGAGTGGCTGCATATGTGTACAACCTCTTATACCCTAAACTAGAGCCCACCACCAGTGCCCCTCCCGAGATTTGGTTCTAGATCCACCCCTGACTGATAATTTTACAAACAAAAATGCTAAATATTTCCACCAATGACATACAGGTCCTCAGGTTGCCTAAAAAACTAAATTCTATATCCATTCATTGGTCAATCCCTTTGTCTCCCATGACATTGATATTAAGATCAACAGCAACCTGCAGTACTCCCTTCTACTATGTGGTTAGTAGAGCAATGACAGTGAGAAGATGTCGAAAAAGTGTTAGCATATGTCTGGCCATATGTGCAAGATAACCCATAACTGTGTTTTCTGTATTCAGCAGAAAACTAAAATTGAAAATAGGAAAGCACAATTAAAGGAAGAAGTTAAAGGGAATCGTTAGTGTTAGGAATACAAAGCTGGTTGTCTGAGTGACTGCCACTAGAAGTGTTCCTAGGCAGTAAAGTAAACACTGCCTTTTCTCTAAAAATGCACTGTTTGCACATAAAAGCCTGCAGGCACATGCAGCAGACTCCAGAACAACTACATTAACCCCTTAAGGACTGAGCCAAATGTACACGTTGTGAACAAAACAAAACGTAAGCAAAACCTGGCATTTGCGCTACATGTCTGTCCAACCGTAATTCACCTCTTTCATAGTAAATGCACGCACCCTTATTATATATCATTTTATTTATTGATATATATATTTAATCAGTATCAATCTATGTTTAATTTGATATTAATATATATATAAATATAATTATATATATATATTAATAGTAAAATACACCTAGACAGTTTATGAGTGTATATGTGTATATATATACTTAGATCATATATATATAAGGATTTACCTTAGCGCAGGTATCTTTTTCTTTGGTTTTACTGTGTGTATTGGGGCTGATGTGTGCTGTGGTCGTTGCTGCCACCCAGGAGTGATGGGAGTGAGCACAGGACTTTTTTAATTTTTTTATTTATATTTACAGTTCTGCTGATGATCCAGTCCACAGAAAGTTCAGTTGTATTGTGTAATAACTGTATATAATTTATGATTTGTTATGATATCCCTCGTAATGTAACCATAAACACTCATGTGCCATGTGGAAACAAATACACTATTTCAGAAGATAAAGCAGCATTTACTATCATACAATTTCACAGAAAATATAAGACACTTTAAAGGGACACTAGTCACGCAAACAACTTTAGCTTAATGAAGCTGTTTTGGTGTATAGATCATGCCACTGCAGTTCTGCTGCTCAATTCTCTGCCATTTATGAGTTAAAATACTGTTTTTATGCAGCCCTAGTCACACCTCCCTGCATGTGACTTACACAGCCTCCCTAAACACTTTATGTAAAGAGAGTTCTAATGTTTAGACTTCCTTTATTGCAAATTCTGTCTAATTCAGAATGTCTTATATCCTGCTCTGTTAATAGCTTACTAGACCCTGCAGGAACCACCTGTATGTGATTCAAGTTCAATTTACAGAGCAGGAGATGCAAACTTTTAAAGTAAGTTACATCTGATTAAAAATAAAACCATTTTATTTTCATGCAGGCTGCATCAGTCACAGGTAGGGGAGGTTTGGCTAGGGCTGCATTAACAGAAACTAAAGTGATTTAACTCCCAAGTGGAAGATAACTGAGCCGTGAGACTGCAGGGTTATGATCTGTACAGTAAAACTGCTTAATTAAGCTAAAGTTGTTTTGGTGACCATAGTGTCCCTTTAACTATTGTGTCTGCTAGTAGTCATGTGCTCTTTTTGTTCTAAGAAATCTCTTTCTGACTCCATAGAATATTGACTGACTGATGAATAGCAGTGTTGACTAAGTAAATGTATTGCCATCTCATTAACACATTGTACATATATTATTTCACATTTGAAAAAAAAAAGCACGAAATAAGTTATCACAACACAGACACAGAAAGTTGAAATGGCAAAGCATATACAATTAAGAATATTACAAGAGTTTATTTAGTAAACAGTTGAGTTAATGTTTTCTTGTAAACTATTTGACAAAATAACTGGTGTTTGAAAACAGTAGCTAATGCACCACTTTACACTCAGTGAATAAACCACAATGATGCAAGTTGTTTTGGCACCGTCTGTCTTGTTTAAATATAACTATATATGTCCTGAGTACCAACTAGGAGGGAGTGAGACTAGAAGAGGAAGTGTGGGGGAGACAAGGAGCGGGGGCAAGCAAAAACAGCATAAGCCCATCAGCTGACCCTAGAATAATTTGGCATAGTACATATCAGGGGCATGTCAACACAGCAATCAAATAAGGTGATAAGATTGATAGGCTAGCATATTGCTGTTGGGGGAATAGCGTATTTTGCTCTTGTAGAAGGTGAGCCATTGAAGCAACGGATACAGACTTTTGCTTCCAATTACTATTTGCCTTCCAGAACAACATCTAGCAGGAAAGGCACACCATCTCAATCTGTGTAACGTTACTGTTTAATGCAGGTGGGCAGAGTGTTCACGTTACCATAGACAAATTAAGTGTCCCTAGCTTTCTTGTTGTTGGCAGCCAAATGTCCCCTGTGTCGGAGCATTCCTGTTAGGTAAGACAAGCAGTGACAATGAAGATCAGTGCAGGCAGTGCAGTTCAAATCTTTTCTACTACATGCTGAGGTTATGGATCAGCAGCTCCGCTAATATTCTGGCAGCTCTTTGAGTTATGCTAGAAACGTGGTTTGGACAGGCAACAGACACAGCAGTACAAAAGGACTTTGTAGTGAGTGATGGGGATGCCAATATGGTGAAAGCTATCAAAGATAGGGACTTGGTGTGTGCTGAAGGGTATGACTAGACAGGGCTGCAGTTAGAAACCGTGCTTTTTTTTTTTGAAGGGACCTAATAAATTGGTAACTCCACTTTGTGCCAGTTTGCCTGGGATCACATCCAAAGGCTCCTGAACCTTCTTTCTGCCAGTCTGCCACCTCTCTCACTGGACTGCTGCTGTTCTACTTATTATCGTCCTTTGGGTAGTAGTATATATAGCATTGCTGTGCCCATGCACTGCAGTGTTTTTCTTTATCATTCTTGCAAGGACCTAAAAGAAGTGGCTGCCGACCATCTGTCTGTGTTGCTGCTGGGCCACTGCTCTCACAAGGCAAACCTCCAAAGGTTGCTGCTGCCACTGACTTCATTTAATTTAAATTTCAAAAATCCTTATTTATGGGTTGTTGGGTGTAGTAGGGTATCACATTGATTGTTGGGTGTAATACAGCAGTACTTCACTTTTAAAGCACTGCTGTATTTTTTTTAACATATTTTCATTGACCTAATACAAGTGATATCCCTGATTGTCCTGTCTGTGCTGCTGGTCCACTGCTGTCCGAAGGCTCACTTCTCAATGCTGGTACTGTTCTGGTTTCAAATTAATTCAAATTTATATTCAAATTTTAAATATCCGCCTTCAATGGGATTGGGTGTAGGGTAGCGCTGCAGTTCTTTAACTAGTAAGCAATGCAACATTTTATTAACTTTTTTTTTTTTGTAAATAAAGCTTTTATTAGCAGTTCAAACAATAACAGATAACAGAGCTTATATCGTCAGTGAGACTCGCAGGTCTCCAATTGCGTCTGACACAGGTACCGCCAACTCTAGATGAACCTTTATAAAACGTTATCGGAAGCGGATGACCGCTGGCCCACATCAGTGAGGGCCGTACAATTCTATAGCTGAACCTCAATCAAATGGTGAGTGGTGCGGTAGGTCCCCGGTCACGTCCTCGTACATGGGGAGTGGGAAAGGGGTCGGTTTGCGGGATCGGGTCCTATAGTCGTGCACCTGGTCTGGGGCTCCCTTTCCTGTTGTCTTTTCCTTAACTTTGGTGGTGCCTAGATATTTTGCGGGTTCTCTCCTGGGTCAGCTACCCTCTCTCCCCGGGTCCGCGTCCCCTCCCCCGCCGCGAGGCGGGCCATCACGGCGGGAGGGGGGAGCGCCCAGCGGCCTGGCCAGCTGTCTCTGTCGCATTGCTTACTTGTGGTCGGTCATCGTTATCATGCTTTATTCGCTGTCCACGTGTGGTATCTATGGTGTGTCTGGAGTGTTTCCCCCTTCGGATGGGGATGGTGTGATGTCTCAGTGCTCAGTTGTATCGGTCATCCAGAGTTGGCTTGTGTTTGCTGTTTATTGTAGGAGTTCCCACGTCATGGGACCCCTCTGAGTCAATTGAGCGATGTCTCGTTGGGCCCACGTCCCTTAGGGAAGTCGTGGAGCTTTCTCGGGCTCAAATATATCGTGGCCCTGTTGCGCCAGGCGGTCCCCGGCCTCGCCCGGGGGAAGAGAGAGGGAAGAGGAGGGGAAAGATAGGTATGGGTGGGAGTGTGTAGGGGGGGAGGTCTGGAAGGTGTGGGGCATAGCTATGGTGTGGCATGAGTCTGTCCTGACTCCCGAGTTAGTCCATCAGGGCAGGTCTGGTTGAGGTGGGGGAGAGGGTGATTGTGTTAAGATGCGCGTGTTGGTCCAGCTGTCTAGGATCCCCGTGGTGACCCATCCCCTATCCTTGTTGTGACGTGTATAAGTACCATGGCGTCCACAGTTCAAGGTGTTTGTCCCTCCTTCCAAGTATTTCAGCGTATCTCGCCTCAGCTGTGTGGATCTCTTCTATTCTCTGCAGCCATTCCGTTTTGGAAGGTGGCTGGGTTTGCTTCCATTTCGCTGGGATCAATGCTTTGGCCGCATTCAACAGATGTCGTAGGATTGAGCGTTTGTATTGTGCCAGCTGTCCCGTAGAGAAGTGTAGGAGCACAGCCTCTATGCTAAAGTCTGGTGGATCACCCAGAATTGTAGTGATTTCCCGCTGTATCTCCTCCCAGAATGGCTTGATCCCAGGGCAATCCCACCAAATGTGGCGCAGTGTACCTCGCTGCGTTTCGCATCTCCAGCAAGTATCTGGAACCCCTGGGAATGTCCTGTGTAGTTTTGCTGGTGTTCTGTACCACTGGGAGATCAGCTTGTAGTTCACCTCTTGGTACCTGGTGCTTATGGAGCTTTTGTGTTGTAATATGAGAATTTGCGCCCATTGGGCGTCTGTGAAGGTTCTGTCTGTCAATTCCTCCCACTGCCTCTGGAAGGCGTTGTTTCTGGAAAGTTCCCCTGTGAGCAATTGCTGGTATATGCCCGATACTCTACCATCTGCCTCTGGATAGCTCTGGCAGAGGTGTTCGAACCAGGTCCATTCTCTGTGTACCGCTTCCCTATTGGGCATATTGTGGTAGAAGTGTCGCAGTTGTGCGCAATGGAAACGGTGCATTACTGTCGGACGATCTGTGTCCGCCCAATCTTGAAGGCTGCGCAGGTTGGCGTTTGTCAGGACCGAACTCAGGGGTACATATCCCTCTGCTCCTTGCGTTGGCCACGCGTTTGCGTGTAGTCCCCCTCCTATGGTTTCATTATATGTCAGGGGGATCAGGGGGCTTGGCTGTGGCGAGATGTGAGCTTCCCTTCGCAGGGTGGTCCAGGTTTTCAGCGTCTGCGTCACAGGGGACTCCGCACCCAGAGCTTGTGTAGCCCCTGTCGGACGATGCCAGATGTATGTGTGGAGTGCTCTGTTTGTGCTTTCCCTGTCCAGCCTTGTCCATAGTTTGTTGGTGGGGGCCGTGTGCCATTCTCGAATTCTTTGCAGTACTGTCACGTGGAAGTATCTCCGAAAGTCCGGCAGGGCCAGGCCTCCCCATGATTTTGGCAAACATAGTCTGTCATGCTTAAGCCGTGGTCTCCCTTCCTTCCATACATACCTCGTCACCGATATTTTGAGCCTGGTGAAGAAGTCCTGTGGCAGGTGCTAGGGGATAGCGCTGAAGCAGTAGAGGAGGCGGGGGAGGATATTCATTTTGACCACCGCTATTCGGCCTTGCCAAGAGATGTGGTCGTACGACCATCTCGACAGGTCCGTCAGTATAGTGCGTAATAGGGGTGTATAGTTCCTATCGTATGTCTCGCCCGGGTCACGGCAGAGCCAAATCCCCAGGTAGCGCATCTGTTCCTTGCACCAGTGAAAAGGGAACTTGCGTTGGAGTCTCTCCTGCGCGTTCCTTTTGGTGTGTATTGCCAGGATTTCGCATTTTGCTAGATTTAGCTTGAGTCCTGATATCCGCCCGTATTGCTTGAACTCCCGTAGGAGGGCCGGCAGTGTGCCCTGAGGTTCCGCGACGAAGAAGAGCATATCATCCGCGTATGCGGCCACCTTGTGTGTCTGATCTTTCTGTTGGAATCCCTGGATCTCTGGTGTCCTTCTGATCTTGTCTAGAAACGGCTCCAATGAGAGGGCGAAGAGGAGGGGGGACAGCGGGCATCCCTGTCTGGTTCCGTTGTTGATGTCAAAGTTGTCTGTGAGTGCTCCATTTACCCGTACTCTGGCAGTTGGGTCGGTGTATAGTGCCGTTATCCAGGTGAGTATGCCGTTCCCCAGACCCATCGCCCTCAGCGCTGCCAACATGAAGCTCCACTGTACCCGGTCGAACGCCTTTTCTGCGTCCGTGGAGAGCATAAGGAAGTCCGATGTTCCCCTACGCGCCAGGCTTTGTATGGTGAAGGCCCGCAGTGTGCTATCCCTGGCCTCTCTTCCCGGGATGAACCCTGTCTGGTCTGGGTGGACTAGCCTTGGCAAGAATTGTTGCAGTCGCGTAGCCAGTACTTTGGAGAAGATCTTCACGTCCACATTTAGCAGCGATATGGGTCGGTAATTGCCGCAAATTTCCGGGCTCTTACCGGGTTTGGGAATCACTGTGATTATGGCTGCTAGGGATTCTCTGTGAAATATACCCCCATCCCGGAGATGATTGCAGGCGTTGGCGATACGTGGGGCTAAGATGTCTCTGAACTTTTTATAGTAGCCCGCCGAGAACCCGTCCGGGCCTGGTGCCTTTCCTTTTTTTGTGGTTTTTATCACTGCCAGTATCTCGTCTGTAGATATCGGGGCGTCTAGAGCGTCTGCTTCCTGCTGGGATAGGGTTTCAGGGTTGAAGTCTCTAAGGTAGCGTGCGATGTCTCCTGCGGTGCCGGTCTCGTCCGCGTCCGGGGTTTCGGGCGGTATGTTATACAGGTCTTCGTAGTACGAGCGGAATTCATTTGCAATCTCTTCAGGGAATTGCGTAGTGGTGCCCCTGGCTGTTCGCAGCGCGCTTACCTGTGCGCTTGTTTGTTGGTTCCGCAGCATGCGGGCTAGCAGCTTTCCTCCCTTGTTGGCATGGATGTAGAAGAAGGCCTTCGATCTCTGGATCGACCTGTGGTGTTTGCTGGCTATCAGGTCCGACAGTTTCCGTCTGAGGGTCAAAAGAGTGCGGTAATGCTCCTCCTGTCGGGTCCTCTTGTGCAGCGTTTCCAGCGTTGTTATCTGTTCCGCTAGTGTCGTCATTTGTCGTTGTGCTTCTTTCTTTTTTTGCGCTGATATCCGGATAAGTAGTCCCCTGAGGACGCTTTTGTGGGCCTCCCACAGAGTCAGTGCGGAGATTTCTTCGGTGTCGTTTTCAGTGAAGTAGTTATTTAGTTGTTCCAGTAGTTGTGCCTGCGTCGGTTCGTCGGAGAGGAGTAGTTCATTTAAGCGCCATACGGTCCGGGTAGGTCTGTATAGGGGTGATTCCATGCGCATGTATACTGCGCTATGGTCCGACCATGGAGTGGGGCGGATGTCTGCCTGCAGTAGTCTTTGCAGTCCTTCTTGTTGGATAAAAAGGTAGTCTATCCTAGCATGCCTATTGTGCATGGCCGAGTAATGCGTGTAATCTCGGTCTCCTGGGTGTAGGGTACGCCATACGTCCACCAATCGCAGTTCGTGTAGGGTCCTTCGGACCGTCCGAATTGCTGTTTGTGGGATGCTGCTGTGTCCCGTTGAGGAGTCTAGGATCGGTTCCAGTGGGGTGTTGAAGTCCCCCCCTACCACGAGGGCACCCTCCGTGAAGTTGGCGAGCTTGAGCAGTGTGTTGCGGAGAAATTTTGCTTGTTTGGCGTTTGGGGCATAGATTGAAGCAAACGTGTACGTCTTCTGGGCTATCGTCCCCTTTACGAAAAGGTATCTGCCATTTGGGTCGGCCAGCGCGTCGCTTCGGTGGAAGTGAAGGTTGGAGGCCAGGAGAATCGCCACTCCCGCCTTGCGTGCTGTTGGGTGGGTGCTATGGAAGCTATCCGGGAAGCATCTGTCCGTCAATCGATGTGTTTCGGCCGCTCTCAGATGTGTTTCTTGCAACAGTGCTACGGACACGTGTTGCTTTTTCAATTCCCGTAGGAGGTGCGTGCGCTTCTCAGGGGCGTTCAGTCCTCTGCAGTTCTGCGTGAGGATTTGGAAGGGGGCATCTGTGAACGCCATGGTGTAGGGTCTTCAGGGCACCCGGGGTTCGAGTGTGTCAATCGCTATACGTGGGGGGGGGAGGGTGGTGGCTAGGTAGGGAAGGAGGGAAGGGAAGATTTTCCAAGTCCGGGCGGGGCCGGGGGTCCCCAAGGCGTCTAGGTCCCTCGGAGTGAGGGTAACCTGTGTGACTGGATCGAGTATCAGGTCCGCACCGTCTTCTAGATTCCTAGGACAGCCGCGGATCTGTCTCCCCCAGTAGTTTGGTAGAACACAGGTCCTGTTGGGGGTGGACCGGTCAGGCGGTCAGTGTGATGAGTACCTGTTTGGTCTCAGGTGTCTGTGGGTGGTCATGTAGTGTCAGCTCAGGAGCAAGGTCCGTTCCCCACTTATGTATATGCTAGTCATGTGCGCTGTCTCTTTTGTTTTGTCTGCTCTATGGTCACGGCTGGGTGTCTGATTGGCTCGGGAAGTCGTGGTCCTCCCAATGTCGTGGGCCGGTTGGGGCCGAGGTGACAACTGCTGTCTCCTGGAGAAATATTCGCAACCGTGGGCCTCCGGGGAGGGGGGGGGGGCAGGCAGGGATGCAGGCTGGCCTCTACCATGTCAGACCAGGCAGGTCAGATCTGTCTGGGTTAGGATAGCTCGGTGGTTAGATGGGGGTTCCCATTGATGGTGTTTTTTTTTTATTTTTTATTTTTTTTTTTGTCAGCCTATTTTTCCAATGGTCTGGGCCTTTCCATATCTTTGGTGCTCTGTCACCTTGGGTTGGTGGGTCATAGGTGCGTGGTGTCGTCGCAGTCATCATAAACAAAGCATTAATTCGCTTGACATTTTCCACCCCTCCATCCTCTACTCCACCTCCCATCCACCCCGCCCCCGTTGAGTCCCCTCCTCCGGTACATAGTAAAAAAGCTGTTCAAAGTACAATCATCCCGTTGCCCCCCGTCCCCCACCCCCCGGGCCCTCCAGCATTAGGTATTGCATGTCTTATTACTGTCTGGACTTTTCCAGGCTGGTCTCCTGTTCCATATAGCCCAACTGGGTCGAGGAGGCAAATATATTAGTTCCCAGTGCACGGTTCATTTGTGCAGTGTCCGGCGTCCCCCCCCAAACCTCCCAGCCCCCCCACCCCCGCCCCGACAAGCCCAGCGTCCACCTGTTTCGCTTGCCCCTTAAGGTAATATCCTCACAATGGCACCAGAAGTGTCCCCAGTTCTCATAATTGCCAGATAGTGTTGGTGCTGGTACGTCTTGGTGCCCTCTGTTAGAAATGCCTTCCCCCCATTGTGTGCCCCCTCCCAAAGAAAAAAGAGAGAGGTGAATGCGTAAGGTTTGTGAGCTGCATGCCAAGTGTGTGTCTCTGCTTAATGTCTCGTGCGAGCTGGTGAGTTAGGTAAGCGTGCAAGGGTCAAGGTGTACTTGTGCGTGCAGTGGAGACTTATCTGGTATCAGGCGTCTTCTGATATTTGGAGGGCCTCTGGGTCTGTCTTGCTAGCTCTTCATCGGGAGGTGAGTTCCGCGCCAGGACCGGCCGGGAGGCGGAGGGGGAGAGAAAGGGGGGGGGGCCGCCAATCGCCTCGCCAATCTTACTATTCTGGGTCCCCGGGCTCCAGTTGTCTGCGGGCTACTGGACGCCTCGGCGTCTCTTCCCTGCGTCGGCGTTGTTGTCTCGGCGTCTGTGGGCCAGGTCTCTGTTCAGGTTGGTTCAGGATCCAGTTGGTGATTTCTGTGGGCGGCAGGCCCAGGCGTTGTAGGAATCTGGGTGCCTCCTCCGGCCATCGCAGGGGTATCCACTCATTTTGGTGTCTGGCTAGGAGAGCGAAGGGGTAGCCCCACTTATAAGTGATCCTCCTCTCCTGCAGTTGTGTCGTGATCGGTCTCAGTGCTCTGCGCGCCTCTAACGTCAGGGGCGAGAGGTCTTGGTATAGAGCCACATCTGCGTCCTGGAATCTCCAAGTGGGTCTGGATCTCGCTTTGGCCATGATCTTTTCTTTTAGCTTATATTGGTGCATGCAGCAAATGACGTCTCGTGGAGTCCCCTCCATCGTGCGCAGTCTGTTGGCCCTATGCGCCCTGTCGAACTCTATCGTGGCCGGCGTCTCAGCCCCCAAGATACCTCTGAATAGTGCGCGCAGCAAAGCCTCCACATCTTCATCCCCCGCGGATTCTGGTATGCCGCGCACCCTTATGTTGGATCTGCGGCCTCTGTTATCCAGATCTTCAGTATGGCGCCTCAGGGTTAATAGCATATTCCCCTGTCTAGTGATGGCTAAGTTAGAGGCCTCTGCTTGAGCTGTGTGGGCTTGTGTGGTGTTTTCTAATTGCTGGAGTCTGCTGCCCTGTGTCACCAAGTCTGCTCTCAGTGCAGTTACCTCTGTGTGTATTGCAGCATGCAGGGTTTCAGATAGGCCGCGGAGGTCATCCTTGGTGACCATGTTGGCAGCAAGTGCCCTGATCTCGGCACTGATGTCTGCCAGCGTGGTTTCGCCGCTCTCAGGTGACGTCCCGGTCGGGGAGTCGGACATGTTGGGGCCTGCGGCCTCCTGGCGTGTGGTTGTTGCGGGCGTCAGGAACCCGTCCATGGGTCCAGCTGGGATGCTAGGGGGTTCCCCCTTGGTGTCTGGGAGCCCTCCACTCTTTTTGTGCGTCCCATGTCCGTGTCGGGCTGTGCTGACAGCGTGCTGTTGAAGCTTGTGGGACGGAGCTCTCTGCCTAAGCTGCCATTTTCGTCCGCGTCCAGGCCACGCCCCCTTTTATTAACTTTTTTACATATTTTAAAAGTGACTGCCCGACCATCTGCCCTCTGCTACCTCTGTCTCCTGTCTAACGTCTAAAGGCTGCCACTGCCACTGTATCTCAAATACAAATTTAAAATGTCCTCCTTTAGGGGTTGTTGAGAGTAGGGTGCCGCTCCAAGGCTTCGCCCAGCAAAACACCAACATTGTCATTTACATTGGCACAATCATTTGAATCATATATTCCACTGTATAAGACTTTTTTAAGACAAAAAGGGATCAGGGATATGTTTACAGGTCTTGGAGATAGGAGTCTTTGCACTAATTTAAAATGGAAATTCACTTCCAGAGAAGTGACAGTTCCTCTTTCACTGCAGTAAATACTATTTCAAAGTTTATTGGGGTGAATAAGAAGAACAGGTAGGTTAAAAACATATTCACCTCCAATGCACTTCCACATTGCTGCCACATCATGCCTCAGACACAGCCATGCACACTTGGGCAGCAATAGATATATTTTTGCACAAGTGTAGAATTTTTTTACAGTACTGCACTAACTAATTTGCTTGTTTTGTATAGTGTTGCCAGACAAAGCATACAAATTTAAATAAATCTAAAAGGAATTAAAAACACACACAAGCAATAGCCAATTGTTTGCAAACATTTAGTTGTGTTAAAATGGGGAAGTGCAAGTTACTTTCCTATTGTGTTTTCTTAAAGGAATACTATTGGGTCAGGAACACAAACGTATTCCTAACCCTATAGTGTTTAATTACCAGATTTTACTAATTTCATGATGTAAAGTCATGATTTTATAAAGGACACGGAGGCGAGTATTATGCTTTTATCTTTCTTTTATTCCTCAGCAGCAAAAGAAAATATTGTATATATATTCAATGCAAAAAAGAAAAACACTTCAATAACATTATTGTCACATATTCATCCGCTTATAGAAATGTGGTTAATGACATTTACTGTCCACACAGGAAAAGTTGTGCCGAGCAGCAACCTAATCCACAGAAGGGTTAATGCTGAGCAGTAATTGTGCAAATGAAACCTAGTGTCATGTATTCATCCGCTTAGAGAAAAGTGATTAATGATATTTACTGTCCACACAGGAAAAGTTGTGCCGAGCAGCAACCTAATCCACAGAAGGGTTAATGCTGAGCAGCAATTATGCAAATGAAACCTGGTAACTGACTTTGGGGTCAAAGGCCGGTTACAGCCTATCAGAACTAAAGGAGGGGTATTTAGGCCCAGTTCTCAGCCTGCTCAGTGCCCTGTCGTGGTTTCCCTTGTGGTTGTCTGAGAGCGCGTTCCTGTTTATAGTTTTCTACCTGGTTTTTGACTTTGGCTTTGTTTATTGACTTCTCTATATTCTGGTATCCTGACTCCTGGCTTTCCTCATCGCTGTGTCCCTTTCTGTGTTCCCTGACCTCGGCTAGTATTTTTGACTATTCTTTGTACGTTAAATCCGGCCATTCTAAGGACCGGTAATACGTTACTTATTTGTCATCCGTGCTGTACAGTTCTATGTGCTGGATCAAACAGTAATCCTGACAT